AACACATATTATGACATAAACGTATACAAATGTTTGAAGAAAGGAATATGAAATTAAGCAATTCATTCAATTCAATACAGATTCAAAATGGATTGAATAATTCACATTTAATAAATTAATTTCTCTACAAATCACAACAAAAAATACATTGGTGCTCACCCAATAATTCACATTTTTTTCATCGGCCAAGAAAAAATTTGTTTATTACTTAGAATACAATCAGTACTCCAAACGTATTAACAACACGTAAATGTTCAATTACAGAAGGTCTCAAACACCATAAGTCCTTTGAGGTACTGAAAATTAATACACTGTGGGAGCTAAACTTAAAGTGCAAAAAGCCTCAGAACCCTAATCCCAATAATTTGAAATGGATTCAATAATTCACATTTTTTTAGGACATTAATTGGTGAATTTTCAATTAGATACATTGCACAGTATATTTATTAAAAAAATTATTATTTTTAATATAAAATTAAAGATATGTAAATTTAAAGATATAATCATATATATAACATATAGAAATTAGTTAAATTAGTTATATTTATATTATTTTTTAATGATTAAATCATATAAGTGTCAAAAAATATATTGAATTAGAGAATATACTAATCAATTTTCATTTTTTTTATCAGCCAAGGGAAAAGTTGTTTATTACTCAAAATACAACCGATATTCCAAATGCATTGACAACAGTTATATAAATTTTGAATTACCGAAGGTCTCAAACACCAGAGTCCCTGAGGTACTGAAAAATAAGACATTGTGGGAGCTAAAGTTAAAGTGCACAAAACCTGGGAACCCTAAACCCAATAATTCGAAATGGATTCAGTAACTCACATTTTCCCTTTTTTTTTTTTATCAGCCAAGGGAAGATTTATATATTAATCGAAGAACAAGCGGTCCAAACGCATTAACAAAGGTTATATAAACTTTCAATTACAGAAGGTCTCAAACGCCAAAACTTCTTGAGGTACTTGAAAACAATGTACGGTGGGAGCTAAACTTGAAGTGCCCAAAGCCTCAGAATCCAAGAGTTAATATTTCGTTGGTAAATGAATTTATTCTCTTATTTTAATGTCTAAGATTTAATTTTTTGAGAACTCAATAAAAAATTAATTTTTTTTATAAATTGTCTAATCTTTACATAAAAGATCAGCCTTTAATTGGACCGGAACATAATGAAATTCAAAATTCATGCATGCTAACTTGAGGACAACCCGGTGCTCCCATCTGGCGTCATGTATATGTCGTATGCTAATTAAATAATTTAATGTAGTGTTTTGGGGTGTGGGAGAGAATAATACCGGAGATGTAAGGTGCCAGAAATTTTAGAAGACAATCCTCAATGGATGTTAGGAGGGCTCCACCTAAAACCTTTTAATTTTTTTTTAATTCTTCTTCGTTTTTTTTTCCTCCCATTTTTCACATTCCCTTTGCTTGAAAAAAAAAATCGGGCCCTTTAATAGTAAAATACCTCTAGAGTGAACAATACCTTGGAGCTGATTTTGTTCTGTGATTATTAAGGAGTCAAGGAGAGCTCTCAGGGAAAAATGAACAGAATCTAGCTTTTCACTTCTTCTTTTTTTTTTTTCTTTTTTAACCTTTAACGTCTGTTTCTGATAATTCAAATTCATCTGGTCATTTTCATCTCTCAAATAATTTAAATTTGTGTGATCATTTTGGGCCCTCGAATAATTTAAATTTGTACGGCCATTCGTTTCTTTTAGTATTTGCTAAGCAAGGAACAAATGATCACCTGCTCTCTTTATAAATACAGCAGTAATTTAGGCTTGAACAATATAGTTTATAGACAACTCACAAAAACGCTAGCTAATCATCTCCCTCACCCATTGCTGGGTGCTGTTCTCTCACCCTTTCGCCTTATGCTGCTCTCTCTAATCACCCCTGCATAAATTTTCATCTCACTCACATATTCTTCATCAGGTAATTATGTCATTTGCCTAGTTAATTTTCTATTATTATTTTTCTTTTTTTGCACCAAAAAATGGGATTTATTATTTATTATTACTAGGGAGTGGAAGAGGTATTTCAATTTATATATATACAAATTCTTATCCTTACAAGGGGCATTCCGATTCCAACACAAAAATTAGCTTAAAACAATTGTACAAGAAAAAAAAAAAAAACGCAGCTTAAACAAAACATAACCATCCCTGGCCCCATAAATCGACCGACCTGCACTGCTAGCTAATTTTCCATTCTTTTGCAGTTTAATCTTTGAATGATTTATTATGGCTTTATGGCAGGGAATTTTAGTTGGTATTCATCAAAATGCTTGCTTGCATTATCGAGCCTTGGATCATTTATATATAGCTGTAAAGAAATGTTAGATCTTATGATCTAATTAAGATTTTACTTTTTTATGGTTTAATTTGACAGATTTGAAATGACAATGAACACCAGCAACTCAAGTACTGTATTAATTGCTCCTTTTCTTCTTGAAAAAGACAAAAATAATTATGAAGATTGGAAAGTTTACATTAAAAATTATTTATTGGCTCGAAATCTTTGGGACATTACTGAATATGGGCATATTCCGAAAGGAAATTGGAGGAAAAAGAATGCTGCAGCTCTACATGCCATTCTTTCTAGCTGTTCACAAGATATTTTCCGTGAAATAAAGGACAAGTCAGCCAAGGATGCCTGGAATCATTTAGCCAAAATACCGGAGGAGCGCGAACCTAAAGAGAGGTCGAGTAGAGGTAATGTATATATAGATTTGAAGAGTATCCCAACTATACTGCATGCCTTTGAAGTATTATTTAATTTAATTTATCTTTATTGTTGAAGAGATATATTCCCAGTTAAATTACCAGCGTACTGAAGTATATAATGTGATTTGACAATACTTTGATATTTTAATTTTTTTTTTCGGTAATCATATTGATAGCTTAAATATTCACTTGCAGAGGAAGAAGATAAAAGACGTTCCCTAGAGATGACAAAGAAAATTTACAATGGAAATTTGGAAGGTGTAACGGAGTTGATTCATTTTGGCAACGTTCAAACTAAATTTCCACCAATTACAGGCTCTCTGGAAACTGCTCTTCACGTAGCAATCAAGGCTGAGAAAGATAAGATTGTCGAGGAATTGATAGAGATGATGTCAATACCAGAACTGGAGCAAAAGGATTTCAATGGTCACACGGCTCTCTCCTTAGCTGCATTTGAGGGAAAAATTGAATGGGCGAAATTATTAGTCCAAAAGAACCAAGGTTTGCTTACCATTGCAGACAACGTGGGCAATATCCCGCTTGTTAGAGCAGCTAATTGTGGCCGCAAGGAGATGACACAATACCTCTACATTGAAACTCTCATGTACACTGAAAGCTCTCTTCATGACAATATCTTGCAACCAGGAAAACAAGGCGATCATGGATTCCATCTCATGCGCTGTTGTATATCTAACAATATGTTCGGTGAGAATAATAAAATTTTTACGTACTAATATTTTATTATGTGTTAGAGGCATTTAGGAGTAACTTGTTTAGCTTTTATTCTACATTTTGAAAAACTAGATATTTGTTGGCATCTACTCAAAAGATATCCAAGTTTGGCTGTTTGCCGCGATACACAGGGAGTATCTCCTATTTTATTGTTGTCCAGTCAACCTCATGCATTTTATAGTGGGACCAAGCTTTCATGTTGGCAACGATTGATTTATTCCTGTAAGTGTTTCTTCTTTTTTTTTTTTCTTTTTTTTTTATCAGTAAAGAAAAAATTTATTATTGAGGTATAAAGATATCCTAACCCATTACATTTCTCAAGAAAACTTTTTGAATAAATTACAACTTTATGAGAAGGAGGGATTCAAACTCAATCCAAAAGCTGGGAGTTGCACCATTCATCATAATTTGTAACTATTTGACCTAAGTCAGGTGCCATCTTTTCAAGAATTTTAAAATATATAATACAATATAACTGCCAGAAACGTTCTCATCATCCATATTCCCAGTTCTATATACTCTAATTAATTTTTAAATTTTGATGTTTGGCTATTGATCCAATTAATATATTGAAGTCTTAAAGGTAGAGTTGCCAACCACATCCACCACTCTCACCGGAGACGTACAACTTTATGTCTATGATCAAAATCACGACGAAGGGAACATCAGAAAACAAGGTATATACCATATATTAATTTCTCAAATGAAGATGCAAATATCATTTCCTTGTTCGAGAGCAGAAAATTGAACTTACATATATGTACATTTCATATTTATTGTATGCAATTATAGCAGAGTTTAATTATCATTATTGCAGTATACGTGCTTGATGGATTTCGTAGATTGGGTTTAAAGGTCCATGAGTTCCCTGGTAACTTTCCGGACCTCAACTACTGAACTTCACCCCCCCCCCCCCTTTTTTTTTTTTTTTACAATTTCAGTATTTCTATTTGTAAATCTTCTATTCTACTAAATTTTATATATGTAGGAATCAAAAATATTCATGATTTGAAGTTGGGACATCACCTTGCAAAGGAGGTTCTTCTCAGTATGTGTAAGCATGTATCGACTTTGGAAATGAATCATCAGCGTGATGATTTTAGAGTTGATGCTGCACTCTTTGAAGCTACCAAGCACGGAATAGTAGAATTTGTCACTGAGCTGTGGAAAGCCAACCCATCATTTGGTTTTAAAACTAATCTTGATGACAGACTCGCTTTCATGGTCGCAGTCCAACATCGTCGAGAAAATGTTTTCAACCTCATTTATGGCGTTAATCAGGCATGGAATGCTGGAAATACCAACAAAAAAGATATAGATGGCAACAACATGCTACATATTGCAGGGGGGTTGGCTCCTGATTTTGAACGTGTTGGAATCTCTAGTAATCCAGCATTACGGGTGCAGAGAGAACTACAGTGGTTTAAGGTCATCATCACCCGCTTCCTCAACTATGATGATTCTTTTAATTTTTATTTATATATAAGTGGAGTGAGATTTGCTACACCAGCAAAGTTTATATTATATTATGTACTTTTTCAAAAAAAAGAATTGTTCTACTAATGAAACTTAATTCATAAAAAATATTAACATCTAGTTTTGTGAAATGGATGCAGGCGGTGTCAAACATTGTTCCAAAATGGTGCACGCAAGCTAAAAATAATAATGATCAAACCCCCAAGGATGTATTCACCAAGAGCCACAATGAATTAGTGAAAGAGGGGCAAAAATGGATGACGGACACCGCAGGTTCTTTTATTATTCTCAGTATTCTTCTTGTTACCGTCACGTTTGCTGTTTCTTTTACTGTCCCAGGCGGCAACAATGAGACGGGGTTACCCATACTCTTAGGCAAAAAATTATTTAAGATATTTATAATAACCGATGCAATATCCTTCTTCTCTGCATCTACTTCGGGTTTAATGTTTTTGGGAATCCTAACGTCCCGCAAAGATGAAGAAGATTTTTATGTGTCCTTACCCCTGATGTTGATGATCGGCCTTATCACTCTTTTTGTTTCTATTGCAACAATGATGGCCAGCTTTTGTGCTGCTCTTTTGATTATGCTACAAGTTCAACTGGGGGAAGTAATTCTCATAATTGTGGCGTCTATCATTCCAACTGTGGTTTTTGCACTGTTGCAATTTCCCCTCATTTGTGAAATTATTGTCTCAACACGTTCTCAGGGAATCTTTAACAGGAAAATGAAGCCTTGGTTGGTTAATTTACAAGAAAGTTGATTTATCTTTGGTGATAGTTTTCCCTCCAAGTTGAAATTCTATAGCTTATTTGGTTAATCAGTTGTATTGGAACTGTCAACTTATGTGTTTTATTTGGTTGTATTTTAATATTTCTTGGTTTTTATGAAATTGTGATTTAAATATATGCACCTGCCATTGTATAAAACACTATATATGTAATATTATCGTGTTTAGTTTGCATTTTCAACTTTTTAAGCCGATTCTATTTCTTGAATTTTCATTGGTGTTGAATTGGCTGCGCTCGTTGGCTATACATATGTTTTTAGAGGAAAATTCACTTATACACAAATTTTACACATTAAATTTATATAAAATTTTAACAATTTATTTCTCTATTTTTAATAATTAAAATTTATTCACATTTATTTAAAATAATTATCCTTTTTTTTATTTAAAAGTCATTATAAATTTTAACTATTAAAAATGAAAAGATAAATGATTAAAATTTTATGTAAAAAAATTAATTTATGAATTATTTTTTATACCATCTTTTTATACAATCTTACTTATCATTTAAATGATTAATTTTTTTTATTCATTTAAGACCCATGACATCTACTCATTTAATGACATGTAAAAGTTATATAAAAAGATGATATAAAAAAATTATCTATACATCACCATCTTTATATAAATTTAATATGTAAAACTTATATATAAATGAATTTCTTCTTATACTTAATTTCAATCATAAAAATCATAATTCGATGTTTGTAACTTATTTCTTATATATATGGTTTGGTAGGAATATCATTCTTTTACAGCAAAAATATCATTTTTTTAACAGCAAAAAGATAAATTTTATTAGTGAAACGGGAAAGCTTTGGTATCATTTGTACAAAAAGTATACTGCAAAAAATAACAATAATAATAATAATAATTTCAATAGATTTTTCTCACACAATATCTTATATTAAAAAATTTATTTTTTTAATTAATTTTAATTAATTTTTATATATTAATTTTAATTAACATTTTATAAGATTATAAATTTTCAAGTGGACCTATAAAACAAAATATAAGATTCTTATAAAATTAATTAAATGTTTTTAGTAAATTAACATGCACAAAGAATTTATTAAGGATATTTAAATAATTTTATGAAAATTCTTACACTTTTTTTCAATAGCCCACCTAAATTTTTTTTATTTTATATATTTGTAAAGAGGTTTTAGTTTTTCAAAATAGATTACATCACTACTAGAAACACATACTTTTTAGATAAAAAAATTGGTCTGAATATATTGAAAATTGGTCATAATATACTTATTCGAACTACTATTGATTCAGATAGTTGGTCTAAGAAAATATAGTCTGAATAATGTAAATTTCAAACTAGTGAAAAGTCAATCTAAATAAAATTAATTTTCAAACCAAAATTAGTCTAGATAAAACCAGAGAAAGGTTGACATTTTAATCAAAAAATAGCTTAAACCAGACCAAAAATTGGCCTGAATAATTATAATTTTCAGACCAACTACAATCTGAATATACGAAAAATTTCAAACTGGTAATAGTCTAAAATATATTGGCCCTAACTGCAAAATTGAAAAACTATGGTTAATTTCAGATGGATAACAGTTTGAAAATTGATGGCCTTATTTAAAAAAAAAAAAAAAAAAAAAAAAAAAA